CTCAATTTTTTGGGGTAAATAATTGATTTCACTAAAAATTATCCAAACAGTCAAATTTGCTCATAATTATTTGACCCAAAATTTATTTTTGGCTTAAGTTGGGGGGGGGGGGGGGGGGAGCAGCTTTTGAATGAGTTTGATGGGGAGCAGCTTTTGAATGAGTTTGATGTTATAATATAATACCAAGACCCCATCACATGATGTTCGTTTATTAGATGAGTCGTGTTTTAAAATTAGTACTGCCCTTGAACTTTTCATAGAAAAACACCGATAATATTACCCAAACAGTCAAAAAGTCGATAATTGATTATTGAGCCAAAATCATGTTTTAAATTAAGTTCTGGAAGATTATTTATAGATTTAATTTTATTATTAAATAATATATTTTACTTCTTAAATAAAGTTTAACAAATTTAATAATATTAAATATAACTTTATCAATGATTTAATTTTTAAAAAGCAATGTCTTTTATGATAATTTGTATAATTAAAATTAATTTTTAAAAAATAGTATAAACAAAATAATATAATTAATTATATTAATAAATTATTTTTATAATTAATTATATTCAATTGAAATTCAAACCAGCAATTAGAATGACAAAATAAGAGAACTTGCTACAGATTGGACAGGACCTCAATGTGGTATTTACATACTACGCCAATTCCTAATACCAGATATGCAGAATGATCACATTCGGATAGTAGCCCAAACTTATATTTAGCCGCTGCCTTTGAAAGAACATCCTCACGACAAACACTGCATTCAATTTCTTTTCGTTTAAATGCCTCAAGGCTCAAGATGCTTTTGCCCCCTTTTTTTTTTTTGGGCAAGTCTTCATATGTTCCTCTCTTGCATATCTTTCCACTTTCCTTACTAAAATAAAAATAAATATATAGTACATGATAGATAAAAAACCATTATAAAGCATACAAGTTCATACTTGCTGCTAAAGTATGGTAACAACAGTAAAATATGAAAAGGTGGTGCAAAACTGACAAGGAAATAGTAAATATATGAAGAAGGAAAGATATCTGAACAAAAACATAAAATTTTTACAATTTGGATAACAAAATAAACAAAGCCTTGGACCATCGGTCAATAGCATAAAACAAAAATTTAACAAAAAGCAGAAGTGAAAACCCAAAGGCCCATGAATTCAACCAAAAAAAGGGGAGGATGAATTTCCAAACCCACACAGTTGTACCTAAACCATCCAAAAAAAAAAACAAAGTGTATCTTCATGTCATGCCAACTTTAGAATGGATAGTTGCCCGTGTAATAATTATTTAAAATGAATTATTTGTAAAAATAATGATAGTTGCCTAGTCTGATGCCCAACTCTATATATATATTCCGGAAACGCTTGGGTTGGGTTTTGACCCAATACCTGAATTTTATTTTTAAAAAATTTTAAATATAAAAAATTTATCAAACAATATAAAATATAATTAAAATTATTTAAAATATTTATAAAAAAAGTGTTAGAATTTAAAGTAATAATTTTTTAAATTGTATATAATTAAAAATTATTTATTATTTTCCCATGATATAAAGTAAAAAAATCAATTTTAAATATTTAAATGATTAGAAAAATTGAAATTATAAAAGATATTCATGATGAACATAAAAAATAATATAATGCATAAGAAAATTAAATAAAAATAACATTATAAAATAATTAAGTTTTAAAAAAATTAAAAAATAAAATAAAATAGATAAATATTTCAAGCCAGGTTGGGTTGGGTTAGGGTTGACCCCAACTTGATGCTCGACTGACTCAAGCAGGATCAAGCTTTTGAGCCACTTGAACAGCCCTGCCAATGATTACTCATAAGAAAAGTTGACTTCAATTCAACCCTTATTGAAAATTAACTAACATTTAAAATGAAACGAAATGAAATTTGCGTTGACAATAAAAAAAATAGAGGTTTATTAAAAGATCATAGCTTCCTGTATATCAAATTATAAATAAAAGTAGAATGTATATATGAGTGCTGAAAATGATAGGCAAAGTGACAACAACAATGTAAAGTCATACAATCAAAGCCTTATCACAAAAATAGCTTTAAAGTATCATGGATAATGCCTATTCAATTTTTCTCATTTTCCTTTGCAAAATTCATTGCAGACTTAACACAATAATGGCATTTAGGGGACCATAGCACATGGATTAGTCCTTGTGACAAGATTTTCATTATACACATGAAGAAGTATTTGGTTAAAATCCACTTCAAGTAAATAGATGGTATTTGTCATGTAAGCAAAACAAATGAAATAATTAATAAAAACTTATATTGATCATATTTATGACATATAGAATAATGAGTAATGACATGTTTATAATAAAGTTTTATCCATGCAAACGACACTTTATATCTGTGAGAGAGTAATTACATTCTAATTACAATGCTGGCAGTGTTACACCAATAAAAAAATGGAACCACACAGATAAAGATATTCCACTAGTAATAGAATGATCAATTTTACGATGAGCAAAAACATAGACATAGAACTCAACAGTAAAAGTTTATGGGAAAAGCCACACTTTCAACAACTAAAACATACCATGTAGATGTGAAAAGTCTTGTCAAGAACAATATCAGAATCTATGCTTCACAGAAGCATGGCGTGAGATCATTTGCTATTTATCAAAATATTTTCAGGGCTAAAAGAGCATGATATGTTTATCGAGAAGCACACTAAATCATAGAACTCAAATATAAAGTTTCGAGAAAAAAAAATCAGTATACCTGTAATACCTATAATTTATCATGGTGAATGGTGATAACTATAAGTCATGATAAAACAAATAAAAATATTAAATTCAAAAAAAACCCTGGAAAGATATTATTTTCATACTATCCAGTCCTTTGAGATGTCCTAGAAAGTAGAAATCAAGAAGCAGAATTTGAGGAACCCAATAAGATATAAAAATCAGCCACAACAAATCATCATGATTGCTCTAAATCTTTTCACAGAAATATCACACTATCCAACAATATCTTGAATAAATCGGCAACATCTTTTGGAACTTACACAACTGTGACCATCTCAGATGATCTCCTGATCATATTTAATCTTAAATTAATTAATCTAATCACACTGGGCTCCTTTTGCATAAACATATAAAGAAATTAATGAGCATGTTTATTATATGGTATAGTAAATGTGAACCGCAATTAATTACTGAAAGAGATCGACCATATTCTAGAAGCACTGATGACAATGTCGCCTAAATAAAAATCATATTTGCTTCATGTGCACTATCATGGTCCACACAACACTTTCGATCCAAGTAAGTGTTTGAGAAGGTACCGTAGATTGAAACATATGTTGCCACTGGAAGAACATAACTGGGAAAAGATCATGTGGCTGATCATACAAATTTCAGCAATAAAACATGACACAGAATAAGACTGCAATAAAAATAGTAGTATCAAATGACTACTAAGGCAAGGTCACAAGAGTGAAAAGGGAAGTGATGAAAACCCATGTGACAATCCGACGGTAACACTACTGAAAAAAGATAAGGAAAGATTTACTGGTCATACATCATGAAATACCAAGCGGACAATGAAAAAGGCAAAACAATTAACTGATGGTCAATCATCACCAAAAAAACAATTAACTGATGGTCACTAACAGAATTAGAACAAAAAAAAAAAGCAACATAAATCATATTAACCCCACGTTTTAAATCTGAACTGACCAAAAAAAAAAAAAAAACACAAGAAAAACACACACACACACCCACACACCCACACACACCACAATAGTTACCCATTGGTCAATACATTCGCAAAGATACAAACCTTGAAAGTTAGAGAGCAACATGACATAGATAACGCAAACGGTTATGCTTCAACCAAAAAAAGTGAATGAATCATGAGTTTCATGTTTTAACTACTTATTGAAAGTGTAATCTCAAGTTCAGAGTTCGAAAATAAATAAATATGAGGAATTTGTGGCATCTAGCTGTATATGCATAGCTTTAAAATATCGTATTTCTACAGTGGTAGGTTAGAACAAATCATCATGATGCGCTCTAATTCTTTTCACAGCAATATCACACATCACAGATCCAACAATATCTTGAAGAAATCTGCTATGTCATCTAAACTTATACAGATGTGACAATGTCAGATGATATCTTCAAGATAATAAATCTAAAATTAATTAACCAAACCTTATTAGACCCCTTTTACATAACCATGTAAAGAAGACATTTGTCATCAGACTTAACCACCGTGTTATTTATCTGATATACTGAAATTAAACCCCACAATTAATTACTAAAAGAAATTCGGACATATCTATAAGCAATGATGATAGTGTAAATAAAAATCAGACCTACCTTATATGCACTATCGTGGTCCACACAACACATCCAATCCAAATTAGTCTCTAGAGGCTGCCAGAGACTGAATAACATGCTGCAACTGGAAGAGAGAAAAAAAAGACACCAAATCATGTGAAAGATCATACAGATGACATTTCCAAGATTTCAACAATGAAACGTGACAGAGACAAATATTGCAACAAATATAGCACAAATCGATGACAATATAGGCATGGTCAAAGCAGAAAAAATGGAAGAGAAAGATAAAGTGATTACAAAGCTAATCAATATAACAAACATATCAGAAACTTCAACAATATAAGTAATACATCATGTAAAATTGATTAGCGTTAAAGATACAAGATATTTTTATGGCATCAAGACTCCATATATATATACACCGGTAAATTATAATTAAAACATAAATATATGATCCTGTATAAAAGATTCAAACTTATATATAACAACCATATCCTTAAATAAATAAAGATAAGAAACCAACTTCAGCAATATAAATTAAAAACTAAATTTGACTGAAACAGGACAACAGCTTTGTATCAATTCGTACCAGCATTATTACAGTATAAATAGATTGGATAAACACATAAAAGAAAAATGGCAACTATTTGATTAAAATGAAATGGAGAAGGCAAGAGCGAATAGAAACTACCCATAACATTTAATAATAAAATATGGTGCCAAAGCACCTATTACAGAGTTGTTCAAAAGGCCAGAGGACCATAGATCTACTGCACTTTTGCAAAGTTCTTCAAAAGGTCGGACAGAGATCTTCAACACTTGGGAACAAGATATAATCTTACAAAGAACAGCCACCAAAAATACAAAAAGATACAACTTCAACATAGTTCCTGAAAATGAGACACAAAAAAAGACCTAGAACTGAAAATGCAGGCCACTCCAAACAAGTACTTTCATTCTAAGTCCTCCTGGAGAGGTGAAGAGTCCTCCTCCTCATAGGACGAATCTCATGGAAGGTGGGGTTCCAAAAGACCCTGCAGAAATAATAGTGTGCAAATTGCAACATTTAAAGTAATCAAAGAAAAATCCAGCTCATGGCACAATCCCATCATCATATCTTAATCCTCAATGCCTCACAACCAATACTGCAACAACATTGTTGTTGTTGCTGTTGTTGTTTTCTCTCTTGTACACACACTTTGACACTCATCTATATATTTTGGTGATAGGTACATATGTATACATATATATATGTATGTGTGCGTGTGCGCGCGTAAAATATCTTCTCAGTATATTAAATGGCAATACAAAATATAATTGATCTGTACTTACAAAATTGTTTTTGTTATTAATTATGATATATAGTAACCTTTCACTAATAAAAAGAGTGAAATTTAATATTTATATTGTATTTGACCATTATTTACATTTAACATTATCGCTTATTGCACGGGAAATAAATACTTTGAACAATATCTCGGTTTTGGAGTCTTTAAGGGTTTCATTTGAATTACTTCCTTGAATAAACAGTATTATGGATTGAATTGAAGAGGTGGCTTTGATGCTGGCAAGGGGATGAGGTGATGATATAAATAGCGTCATATAACATTGGGTATCAAGTACCCAACATCATTCAAGCTAATACATGACTACAATTTATAAATTTTATTATTTTAAAGTATGAAAGTAACATATTATGTTTAATTGTAATAACTATAAAGCATAAGTTTTCCATGCCATGTGCGAGTGAGTAAATGCTACAAACATGTTGGTACACTAGAATCCAAACAGGAAAAAATGTTCTATAAGTTGGTGAGTAAATGTATAGGAAAAAAATCTAAACATTATTGTTAATGATTGTTTTATACGTTGGTTATTGAATTAGTAAATGTCAAGTATATTGCTCATTGAATAAATCACAAACATTATTATTAATATTTTTGCATATGTCGATTGGGCTATAATTACATTGTTTTCTCTCTTATACACACACTTTGACACTTATCCATATACTTTGGTGATAGGCACATATGACATATAATATCTTCTCGGTATATTAAATGGGAATACAATATATACCTGATCTGTAATTATAAAGTAGTTTTTATGATTAATTATGATATATAGTAACCTTTCATTAATAAAAAGAGTGAAATTTAATATTTATATTGTATTTGACCATTACATACATTTAATATTGACGTGTATTGCACGGGAAATAAATACTTTGAACAATACCTCTGTTTTGGAGTCTTTAAGATTTCATTTGAATTATTTTCTTGAATAAACAGTATTATGGATTGAATTGAAGAGGTGGCTTTGATGCTGGCAAGGGGATGAGATTATGGTATAAATAGCATCATATAATATTGGGTATCAAGTACCCAACATCATTCAAGCTAATACATGACTACTATTTAAAAATTTTAGTATTTTTAACATATTATGTTTAATTGTAATAACAATAAAGTATAAGTTTTACATGCCATGCACGGGTGAGTAAATGCTACAAACATGTTGGTTACACTAGAATCTAAACAGGAAAAAAAAAATGTTCTATTAGTTGATGAGTAAATGAATAGGAAAAAATCTAAACATTATTGTTAATGGTTGTTTTATATGTTGGTTGTTGAATTAGTAAATGTCAAGTTTAATGCTCATTGAATAAATCACAAACATTATTGTTAATATTTTTGCATATGTTGATTGGGCTATAATTATATCATATAGATTTCATAAAGTTCATGTTATTTTTCACAATGTAAAACAACTCTAAAAAACATTAAAATACTAACTTCAAGGTATTACATTTAAGGAAACGCACCTGTGTAACATGCAGGAGAGTGAATGCTAGTTACTTAAAATGCTGCGCTGCACCAACAGCACCATCATGCTGCTTTTCTTCCGGCGAAACCATAGATTAGATTGAGGCAGACGAAAGAAGCCAATTTAAGTTAACCACTTTGATCTTTAGATTGGTAAGCATTGGCGCGAAAAGCTCCCATGAAAAAGCCGTCTCCTCATCACATGTTACACTTTTTAAATGCTCGGGATTCATGACTGAGTCTGGCAATTCACACATTGAGCAACCTGTCATGTACAACTTTTCCATACTTTGTAAGCAACCAATGCTCTCTGGTAAATTTCTTAGGCTTATGCAGATTGAGATATCAAGAACCCTTAACTTGGAAAGCCCACCAATTGAATCTGCTATAGCTCCTAAATCAGTACAGGAATTCAGCCTCAGCACCTCCAAATTCTCCAGCCTTCCAATTTCTCGTGGCAAAGTAGAAAACTTATAGCAGTTAGAAATACTTAGCTTCTTGAGGGTTTTAATAAAACAGAGACTAGAAGGCAGTTCCACGATATCTTTGCAATAGTCAATGTTCAATTCTACTAGCATTGGCAATGAATCTGAAATTGGTATCGTAGAGCTCCCAAAAGCTTGACTTGTATCACAACCATAAATGGATAATTTTTGCAGGCTCTTCGGGGTGCCAAGGGGAGGAACAGAAACCTTCTCCAGTCTAATTCTTTTCAGGTTAGATAAAGAACCCAGTATCTCAAAGTTTTCCAATTCAGAAGCATGGAAACCATTATTAGTGCATGTCAGAACCTTTAGGCTACTCATTTTCTCAGTGAACTTCGGTAAGGAATACTGCTTAGTACGAACATGCAATAATGGAACCTCAGTTTCCAAAAACTGCGAGCTGCCCCAATCTAAAGTGAATGTTTCATCTGCAGAAACAATCCTGGCCCAATCTGAAGTGAATGTTTCATCTGCAGAAACAACCCAATTGGCATCAATTTAGAGAACTTTGCAACTTTCTAATACGTATTCTCTTTTAAATCTGCAAGTATAAATTTTTAAGGAAGAGATCAAACTAACCAGTTGATATAGACAATGTGCGTGCAATGGCAGGTTGCTGCTTTAGTTTAGCTCGCCATTTAAGGAATATTGACAACAGGCGGAAAATAATGCTTTGCTGCTGCTCTTCCAGACACCATTGGAGATTATTTTCATTTATGTCAATCATCAATCTTCTTCTCCGTTCAAATTGTTCTTGGTTGCTTTGATGAATTGCGAGTTCTCGTAGAAGGTCATGCTGGACGATGAAGTAGTTGTTGTAGTATTTGTCTGAATCACTTTCAACTTTCCTGGTAAATGAGCAGAGTTTAGCTTCCCAGCTAAGGAAATATTCCAGAAAAGAGAGGGAATTCCCTACTCCTCATGTGCTCATCCTTGAAATGAGATCTGGATCATTCAAATTTTAATCTAGATGGTCCAGATTTTAAATATTATTATATAATTTTATATTATATTTACTAAAATAAAAATTTATAAAAATTATAAAATAATTTTAATAAATTTTTCATTTTTAATTTGGTCTAGATTTAATTTAAAGGGTCCAACTTAATATTGAAATTTTTATAATTGATGTATATTAATTATTCAAATGTACATCAATTATATTATCTGGACTGAGCAAAGTACATCTGGATAATCAATATACATCAGTTATAAAAATGTTAATATTAAATTGGACCCTCTAAATTAAGTATAGGCCAGATTAAAAATAAAAAATTTATTAAAATTATTTTATAATTTTTATAAATTTTTATTTTAATAAATATAATATAAAATTATACTTGAAATCTGGACCATCAGATCTCATCCCAAGGATGGGATGAATAGGGGAACTGAACCCGACAAGATAGAAGTATATGTGTCCTCTTGTCTGATACTATGTTAGTCTTCAACTTATGTTCTCTATTTGATGTTCCATAGAATAGTACTCGTGAAATTACATGAAGCTACATCAGCCATCTTCTGTTAGATATCAACGCCTCTCCCTCTCTCTACAGATCCTTCTCTTCCTCACCGATGTTTCTTGAGTGTTTCTATCCTTGGTCAGAAAAATGCAATGACGGTGAAAAAGTGAAATTTCCGGATACCGCTGGATAAGTGATTTGACCAACACAACTCACCTATAAATAAGTATGTGCATTAGTTAGTGATGTTTGTGGAGAGAAGAAAGAAAGAAAGAAAGAGTGAAGTGACGTAAGGTGAGAGAAGAGAAAAGAAGGTGTGTGTGTGAGTGTAGCATTTGTAAGAGTGTAGATAAGTGAGGTAAGAGATAGACAAAGAGTAAGGGAAAATTATGAGAAAAGTTATGAGTGTTTGAGTGTATTTATTTTTATTTAAGTCCCTCTCTTTCTCCATCCTCAAATCCCAACATTTGGCACCAGAGCTGGAGCTATTGAGGAGCAGTTGGGTTGCTTGAGAGTAGTTGATAGAGTTTGAATATTCAGGCAGAAGACTTTGAGAGTCTAGATTCGCTTGAGATTCTGCCGATAAACAATCCGAGACTGTGGAGTAGATCAATCAGGGACCAAATCAGCTTGGTGTGGGTGTTGGGCACAACCAAGATTGCCATGGCAGACATGACGTTGAATGCTTGTTTAGTGAAGAAACTAAATAAGTATTATCAAGTGTGGAGTACAATAGTCAAGTTCTATCTCAGAGGTCAGAATCTTTGGAATCTCATCAACAAATATGATGCTAGCAGGTAAGGGTTAAGAAAGCTCTTTACGTATTGACTGTTATTGTTGAGCCACAATTCATTAGATATGTCAAAGAAGCAAAGAAGCCAGATGAAGCATGGGATACATTAGCCTTGCTATTTGAAAGAGCAAATGATGCAAAGTTGTAGTTATTTGAGAATGAGCTTGCCTCAGTTCGGCAAAATGATATGCGAGCAAGTGAGTGCTTCTCAAAAATTAAATCTATTTGCAATGAGATTTCATAATTAGATCTAAGGAACCCCATTACTGACACACAAACGCGGAGATTTATCATTACAGGGTTAAATCCAAAATATTACAGCCTAGTCACGACAACAAGAGGTTGGTCTAAAGAACCAACCTTAGCCTAATTGGAAAGGTATCTTGACTAATTAAGAAGCTTTGAATACACAAATGTTCAAAGTTCCTTTGAAAGATGAGAGAAAGTCTCTCTTTTGTAAAAAGAGACATCAACAGGAGGATTCAAACTCAAAGAAACAAGGAGATGACAGAAGGCGACAAAGCGATTGGTATAGAGAATGTCGCAATAGAAGCTCATGTCAAGGGGGAGCTTGCGAAGATTGAGACAAGCTTGACAAAAAGAAAAATCGCCGAAAGAAAGGTCAGTATTATATTTGCGAGAAGGTCGGCCACTGCATACGAGATTGTTGGCATAGAAAGGCTGAAGGAAATGTTGTCATCGCCAATAAAAGTGACAGTGAGGAAAAATAAGATTTTGAAGTATCATGTGCCATTGAAAAAGAGATGGAGACAGAAGATTTCAGTAGAAAAGAAACAACAAAATTTTGCATCACAGAAGAAACAGATGAAGTCAAGGAAGAGAATGTTAAGAGTTCGATTAAGGAAAAATATGAAGACGAAGATGGAGAGCAAGACCAATCTTCACCATCACAAATATCTATGAAGATACAAAAGGCAAGAATCAAGAATGTTTAAAGTCACAAGACAAAATTGGCCGCGTATGAGTTTCCTCAACGATGTGGAATTGATTATGCTAGGTTCAGGAAACCATTTGGAAGTCTGAAGAAATGAAGAAGCAATGTGAAGGTTGAGAGAAAGTAGTCGTTGAGGGGAGGTGTTAGATATCAACGCCTCTCTCTCCCCCGTATCCTTCTCTTCTTCCCCGCCAATATTCCAGATGTTTCTTGAGTGTGAAGCTTTGGATATTTCTATCCTGGGTCAGAAAAATGCAACGACGGTGAAAACGTGAAATTTCCTGATACCGCTGGATAAGTGATTTGACTGACATAACTCACCTATGAATATGTATGTGCATTAGTTAGTGGTGTGTGCCAAGAGGAGAAAGAAATAAAGAGTGAAGTGACGCAAGGTGAGAGAAGAGAAAAGAAAGTGTGCGCGTAAAGTGTAGCGCTTGTAAGAGTGAAGAAATGAGGTAAGAGAGAGAGAGAGTAAAGGAAAACTACGAGAAGAGTTATTAGTATTTAAGTGCATCGTAGTTGAGTGAGTAATAACAGTTTATCTTCAATTAAGTCTTCTCTTCCTCCATCCTCAAATCCCAACATCTTCGACTATATATAGCAATTACACGTTAAGAGACCATGGGAAAAAGATTAGTTAATGTACCTTGTAACAAGGAGAATTGCCAGATTCAGGGAGACTAATTTATCGATTATGGTCATCGCTTTTTTCCCGTCATCATCTACTTTATAGAGTTCTGCCCACATATCAATGAGAGCCATGACGGGAATTTTTTGGTCTTCCGGAAATAACCCTAGGTCCATGAAGTACTCCCTGATGATGGGCTCAAATTCCAAAACATCCAAGCATCCTTGGAGAAAGATAAGCAAACTTGTATTAGAATCAAGAATAGAATGACCGTGCGACCATTCCTGTATCATCTTTTGCCACACCTCATACGGTTGCTGACGCAGTGATCCAGCGATTACTTTAATGGCCAAAGGTAGACCTTTACAACTTTTCACAACCTGCATTTCATTGCAAACGAATAAGGTCAGAGAAAATGATGATATAGGTTGAGTTATGTCAAATTATCGCTGTCCTTGCCAACTTCTAAAATTCAGTATAATATTTATCAAACGTAGAAAGAGAAGAAAGATAATTTCCACGAATCAAAAGTGAAAAGAAGAAAGAAAAAAAAGGGGGGGGGACCTCTCGTACAAGATTTTCGTCGGGAATGCATGAGACGAGAGCAAAGTGACGGAAAAGGGTTAGTGCGTCTTCATCACGAAGTGGTCCCAAGTCGATTTGAGGGTTTACAGTTGGAATTGTAACCCTTGAAGTGATCAAAATTTTATAATCGGGAATCTGAAACTTGAAGTTCTGAACAAGGGATTCTGAGCCAGGCCAAACGTCATCCAACACCAACAATATTGGTCTTTCTATTTCACTAAAACGAAGTCCCAGCAGTTTAACAGCATTTTTGTCGCTATGAACCTTGGGAACCCAACTTCCACAGTGTTGAAGCAGCGCCTCCACAATGACCCTAAAGTTGGGTGTTTTTGAGAAGGTCACAAAAATGATATGGTCTCTGAATTTACCTGATAAAACCAAGCATATATTTTGAATCAAGGAACATTCGAAGTCTGGAAGGTAACAACAACATGCTTCTCAGTTCTTAATTTGCTGCGTATGAAATTTCATAATATGATGTAATGCTCTTCCACGGCACATTTTTTACGCCTCTTCAGGGGGGTGGATACATATTTGGGCTGCCGTAAGTTTATGAATAGGCAAAGTAACACTGGGCATATGCCCAATAAATATCACTGGGCCCAAAGCCTTGCTCAAAGGAAAACTCCCGTCGAGAAATCACAGTTTTGAGTATCAATAATACTAATTGGGCCTCAATTGGGCCAAAATGAATACTGGCCCTCAAGCACGGCGATTAGGACTTCAAAAAGGGGGCAACAAAAAAAAGGGGCGTTACCTTTGACTTGATCATCCCAACAGAGCTTCGCTGCCAAGGTGGTCTTTCCGGATCCTGGTAGACCAGTCAATCCAAGGACGGATGCGCCATCCCTGAGAAGCTCCATTTTCAGACTCCAGAAGGGCTCGTCCATCCCAATGACGAGTTCTGGGCTTTGCGGAGGCAAGCATATAATTCTGTGCCCAGAATTCTCTTTGTAGCTCATCGCTTGGAGAATTTGTCTTACCTGGTTGAGAGTCTCCTGCACATCCTTTACCCTATCATTTTCAGCCCTCGAATCAAAAGAAAGCCAATTGACAGTCCAACCGTGCCTGCGCCCTCCTTCCTTTTCCTGAATCAGCTCTTGTATTTCTTCCCTGGGGCGATCCAGGCCATCGTTAAATATTTTGATCTCTTCCATCAACGGCGTGAAGGCCTTCAGTGTTGATCTGAACCTTTGGAGTCTGTTCTCATTCTTGTGTGCATCGTCGATCATTTGCCTTATCTTTTTCATCGACCTCTAAAGCAGCGCTGCTGGATCAGCTTCTTCGAATAGTTGTGCCCTTTCTTCCATGGCTGATTTCTTTCTTTTGTTCCCTCACTCTGAAAGATCCTTCGCAGAACCGTCGTTCACGATAATCGGATGATGTGACGAGGTTTCGAGGTCCTTGCCGCCCTGTTAACCTGCCGGGCTTTGACTAATATTTTTGGGACCTGCTGCAAGTTAAAAGAAGGATGGACGGCAAACCTTTCTTATTTTATAAATTCTAGATGTCGGGAAATGGTCGCAGGTTTAGAAATCTGCTAGGTGACATCATGACGCAAGAAGTTCATGCTTCTCGTATTGCTTTTCATGCTTCTTGTATTGCTCCTCATCACTCATTATATTGATGTGACCTAGAAAAGAAAATGCAGACAGTTGGCAGGAGATGTGTTGCAAGCATGCTGCAAATTTTTGGGCAGACTTCTCTTAAACATTAATGCACCTTATGTATTGGTTTACATTCAAATGCTTAATATTTAAAATAAATAATTAAAATTAAAATTATTTATATTCAACTAACATTTTTATTATTTATCTAACAAATGCATAGGCAACAGTTTCTTTATTAATAAAGCTTAATGCCCAGTATTTTATTCTCTTCACTGATAAAAAAAGTATCATATCAAATAAGCATAGATGTAATCACTGTCAAGTAGAAGAATTCATCATTATATTGAAATTAGCAAAATTAATATTGGCATTTGAAGGTGAAAGACCAATTAAATTTGCATGAGCTTAATTGTTTTTGGAATAATTTTACTACCTGCTGTATTTTTTAAATTTTCCTTCATTTTAATATAATCAATGAATTAGCTTAATGGTATTCTTTTACTTTTTTACTATTTCATCTATTGAATTATTTAAAATAGACATGTCTTTTCTTTTGTATTTTTAGGGGAGGTGTGGAGTTCAAAATTTACTTTGTATAAAAGTTACCGTTAAAAACTTAATTTTATTATTTTATTAGTTTTTTAAGCAAGGGGACGAACATACATTGTTAATCAATTTTCCTAATTTTATATGTACAAACATTTTTGAGTCATATTTATATCATCATAACAGAAAGCTGTGTTTGTAAATCTCCCTCACCTAAGTGATCACAACACTATTGTTTTTTCACATAATTTGTACAAGCATATATACCAAAAAAATTTGTCCAAGAACAAAAGTAAATCTAATGCAATAATCTTATATTTTAATTGATCTAAGTAATTGATTAGAAAAGTATTGCTCAATTGTAATAACAATAAATTATATGTCTATGTGCACAATTAATGTTTGAGATATACAATTTTATGAGACTATTGTAGATATAACTTATGTTATAAGATTAAATTAAGCAAACAATTTAACATTTATTATATTTTATATTATAACTAGTTTATTATACTTATAAATGATAAACTCTTTACATATTAATATGAACCATTACACTCTTAAATTTTTTAAAATTTAATATGTATTTTTTAAGCACAATATTTTTTTCAGCTAATAGACTAATTTATCCTAATTTCATATGTCATCCACTATTTTTGTTATTGTATGAAATGAATAATCTTACAAATATATATTCATGTGATGCATTTTTTTTTAAAAAAAAAAAGTCGATGCTTCTTGTGCAACGGGAGAGTCAATGCTAGTGAATTATAGAGCAATCACGCCCCATCATTAATTCAAAAACAATGTCATTCACTTTAGACCTTGTGGGCCCATCATTTTCCATTTTCAAGCCCTTTCTCTCTCTTCCTCCTTCATCCTCTCTCTCTTTCTACGTACTCTCTTCCTATTTTCAACCTTGACGGGACATAAGAATGAGGTGTTTGACCCTGTCTCATTTCATAAATACCCCTTTTAGTTATTATAACTAACAAAAGAGAAAATTATTTAGGACATATTTTCTTAAATATTGAGGCTAAGAAAACTCATCTTTGTGATGTATTCACGATGAGAATTAATAACGGCAAGAAGGATCTTGTAGAAATATATGAGATCTGTATTTTTTAACTATCATGCATTGCAACATATAAATCCAGCTACTATAACCCATACTGTTTGGTTTAACTAAAAATTCTCTTTTATTACTAAATTTTATACAGAAAGATATGGTCCTAAGACAAACCTAGCTTATGCTTCATTGTCATTCAAAGACGAATAGAAAAAAGACGCGTGCGCTTTAATTGTTTTGTTTCAATTTTACATTTCTTATAGGATGATAAGACACTGGTTTTCAAATGGGCTGTATAACATCCCTTTAGTCCTTTACACTCATGTTTTCATCCAATCAATGAATTGAAGGGATTTTGTATGCGTCTGGGTAACCAGCTCCTAACATTTACAAAGTACTTTTGGCAAATTTCAAACGTAAAGACTGTTTGATTTACATAAAATTTTCTGAAGTCGTTCGAAAAAGTCCACTGAAAAAGTCATTAAAAGTTTATTTCTCCAAAACTACTTTCACTTAAGTTTACATTTGAAGTTAGAGTTTGGGCATTAATGAGGGAGTGTGATTTTTGTTTTACTATTCTACCCTTATGATTATTTATTTACCAAACATTATATTTTTATAGACTGTTGAGCTTGTAATTTTTCATAAACCACAAATTGTAGGGAGACTGGATAAATCATATAGGAAGTGATCATAAGCATTAAACTAAAATTTTATTCGCTTAAGAAAAATAATTAGTACTGCTTCATATTGAATGTGTCAGACAAACAAACAAAGGAAAGTAATTTATGAGATTGAGAAAATGAGCAATGCTAATGGTGATGCATTATTTTTTTATTATTTATTATTTAACATATCAAATTTTATGTTATTTAAAATTTTAATTATATGCATTTTCCAAACACTTCAAATATATTGTATGTGTGTAATAAAAATTACATATCATAAAATCAATATCCTTTTTTATAATTATGCATATAAAAATACTTTTCATTATATATTATCTAAACAACTTTTAGTTATAAAATTCATTTTTTTAAAAAATAAAATATAAATTTTATTATAATAATTAATTTTTATTAAATGAATTTTCAGCAAACAAAAAATTAAATGGGCCCTTAGATTTGATGATAAAGATTTTTTTTTTCTTTGGGATTGAAGTTGACATATCAACATTTGCAAGGAATTAACAAAGTTTTCCCTTCACTATTTTTCTTTTTATTTAAACTAGCAGTAACTCACACGTACATTGCATGGGAAGCATTTGCTAACACATATATATATATATATATATATAATAGAATCACAAACTTATGTCTTGTAAAGCCACGTGTCTTTTGTTATATTTTTATATTTTATTTTTTATTTTAAAAATAAATAAAACAACCTCACTCCCACAAATCTCGTGCCACATGTCCTTTATATTTTATATTTCGTTCTTTACTTCAAAAATAAATAAAACTACCTCACTTCCACATATCTCTTCATTATCCCACATATCTTTTCCACTATCTCTTCAATTATTTCTAAAAATATTTTATAAAAGATAATAACTACAATGATTTTATTACTAACCGAAACTACTTCCCTTTATCTCTTATTTTTCTCTCCTTTATTTTCAATTATCTCTAATATTCTCCCCCACTATCCCTTTCATTATCATAACCTCCATATTAACATTGATATTTTTCAAAAAAAATAATTTTAAAAATATATAAAAGTAAAGCCACAAGTTTAGATCCAGTAATGCCCTATATCATACTCATATATTTTAAATATAAAACTACCCCAACCTCAAATTTAAATATAAAACTACCTCACCTTCAAATATATCTTCATTAGCCCCACCCCCAGAAAATTATTCATAATTTATTTATAATCTATAATTTCTAATTTAAAAATTGTAAAACTGCCCCACAGGTTGTGGCTCGTGAACGCTTCAAGCAACTATCATAGGGCACTCTTTCTCAGTTGTAGTCTTCCTCAACATTCTCCATATGTGAGTTAATTGTTATTTTTGAAACCTAAAATCCCTCTCCTAAATTTCTTTGATGTGTATATCAATCTAGCCAGAGATCACTTTCAGTCGTTGGAGACAATATTGACTTCAATACTCAAAATAAATCTCTATTGGTTGGTGACATTCTGGCATTTTTTCTTTGAGACTTGTCTTCATTTTATCTCGTCTCTTTCGCAAATTCTTTTTTACTATGAAAGCAAAAGGCCAAGCAAAATTAGTGTATTGTCAAGAATTAACCTTTTTTGGTCAATCTTTTTTACATTCTCATATTTTGGCAGTTTGGGAAATGGTGTTGATGATAGAAATGGATTACTATTGCCGGCTAAGATATATAGAGGAAAAGGAAAGGCATGAATCATGCATGGGTAACGAAATGATTATACATATAGTCTGGTCTATTTACAAATTATAAATAAATTCTGTGTTTCATTCTTCAAGATTTTTACAATGTATATGAGAGATCAACATCAATTACTTCAAATAATATAAATCTCAATGAGGTATAAATCTACCTCAAACACTTAATATTTTAAAAAGTGTAGTTGCGGATGCTTTGGATCCTTTTATGAGGTAAATCTCAACGAGGGTCACTTACAGTAATCACATTAGAAACCTCTAGCTTTAATAACTTATGTTCTCTTTCCGTTTTTTTGATTCAACTAACGCTCTCTTTAATTAGTCCACAAGTTATTTCTTATGCTTGCAGATCACGATCGACCCTGATGCACTTATCCCAATCGACCCGAGTACGAGAGAATAATTAGCTTGCATGCGTGAGTTTTCCCTGATCTCACTTTGTTTTTGCTTCTTCTTCTCAGTCATTGGCTTCTGAAATTGATCATATAATATATAGAGAGAGTAGCTCAAATACCGCTTGCTAGCTTATTATTTGTTCATACTTCGATTCAATTTTTTATTATAAACTATCTCTCTCTCTCTCCTCTCTCTCTCTCTCTCTCTATATATATATATATATGTATATTGAGTTTAGTTATGGAAATTTGTTCGTAGAGGTTAGTAACTAAATATTCGAGTGACTACAACAAGCAGCCTTCGGTAACGATAAATACATAATATTATATATTATGCTTTTCTTTTCTACCTTTGTTATATGGCATGCATTTTTTTACCCGCAATTCCATGGCATGCATTTAGTTTTTAAGGGATGTTTCATGAAAATGGAAATATATTCAATGGCAAAGCCACATGTGATTGTATGCCCCCTTTGCTTGGAAAAAATGACATGTTTGAAAGTATAGGTTTTATATTTTACAATTCGT